TCGGCCCCCCCGGAAGCACGGTGAATATGGCAGCGAAGGCATTGAGCTTCAGGCCATCGATGACGTTGCCAAATTGGCACACTTCTATCCACATGAGGATGCCCCCGGTGGCCAAGAGCATGATATACAGGCACTCTGCGACAATGCACAGCCACAGCACCCCTATGGATGTTGAAGATAGCACAAAAACAGCGTTTTGAGTCTAAAGGGCTGGGGGTAGGGGGCGGGGGAGGGTGAAGGCAAATTCAAATTGCTGGAGTGCAGGAAGACATGGTTGAGTGACTCACGAAGGGAGTGCAGGCAGTGATATAGGAAATAGGGGAAGGGGAAGTGAAGAAAAATATGGGCTAGGTAAGCAAGGGCAATTGGAGAGGACATGCATAGAAGCGGGTGGGGGGTAGAATGAGTCGGTGAAGGTTGGATGAGTGACCCTGTCACCCATATGATTAACCTTCACCGTCGGTGAAAGGATATATAACCTGCTGAGGGGCCTCCAGCACATGACGGAGGGAACATCATGGCGTAAAAACGATTGAAACCATTGAACGGAAGCTAAGGTGCCATGAAGTATATCACACAACAGCCCGAAGCGTTTGTCATATGATTTATTGATCATGATTGCCTAAAATATCCTTGTTGGAATGTCGGACACTTTTGTAGCTTTCAGTTGAAAAAAAATTAGCTCAGAGACTGTCTTCAGCCCTCGGGAAGATTTTTGACAATTCGAATAGATTGTTGCATTGAGATATGAGTCGTCCTGTACGGTGTATACTTTGACCAGTCTTACTGCAGTTACTGAGCTACTTACTGTAGTTGCGTTAGTCTTCTTCATTTATGTTTGTGTAATTGTATTTTACTGCCCCCGGTGGCAAGGTTACGTACAAAAGAATCAGCCACCATTAAATAATCAAGCTGCAAGAACTGTTTAATTCTTTACATTCTGTCTGATTATGTTATTACCATAAATGTTTTAAGTGATTGTAGCGTGCTTTCTTATTAAAAACACACCGTGCAAAAACATTTTGGGGGAGGCTGGGATGCATTAGCGGCCTTTCCATTCATTTCAATGGGGAAACATCATTTGAGATAAGAATGTTTTAAATTGCGAGCGTGTTGATGGAATGAAGTAAAGTCATAGCTCAAGGCACCACCGTACTCGAATGAACAGTGCCCGCAATGACAATGTGAAACATTATTAAACAGCGTGGGTGCTTATTGTGTAAAAGGGTCTGAGCGTATAATTTTTAATACATTTGCAGAACTGTCAAGTCTTTTTTTCCCCATTTTTAAATTATCAACGAATAAAAAAACAATCCATATCTTGAATTAAAATGTATTTAATAAAGTTTGGGATGATGCAGTACCATAACAAATGATGCATAATGTACGATGAATGTATCTGGTACAACAAAGCATTGCTGAAATGAAATTCTCGAGAAAGAAAACACGAGTAACCAACAAATGAAATCTTGTCTGCAGTTTTAATGTATTTCTTTAACTTTGCGTCAAATGAGCAAGAATAATACAACATAAGTTGTTTTCTAGGAAGTATTTCCATAAGATTACCGGTTTCAGCATATGGAAGCGAAGCCAAGAAGTAATTAGCAGAACATTTAATTACCGTATAAGAGAGCCATCGACTGGCCTGTCTTGATCGTATTTTTGCTTCTATAGCACCGATAATACTGATTCACTGGCAACGCTTGACGCCAACATATTCAAACATGCTGTAATGACTAAATTTGACTCCTGATGAAGACGTTTGGCAATCAATGATGGTGGAAAATAGGACCCAATTCACGTGCTTGCCGATGTGTTTTAAGCAGTTCTGCAATCAACTCGAGCCAAAACCGACATTCGTCTGCCTGACAATTCATGTTGCCTGGTTAAAGCAGATTGCCTGCCGAAGAATAAACAGTGAGCATTTAAGTGTTCCCTGGAAAGCCACGTTGGGCCATCTGGGTGCGTTTGTACTGCAGCTCATTCCGAGAATGTTCCGAGGTGTACTATGTTTACTCATTGCTGCGCAAATTGCAGAAGGGACCCCCTTTAATGCCCTCATGTTTTTTTTTTCTTTCCGATTTACATATTAAGTTGTGGATTGACCTGTTTGGGAGATTTTGACAGTTTTGTTTGCCACGTGCTACTTAACTGAATTTCTATTTTAGAAACCACGGCAGAATAGGAATGGAAGAGACTTGACGCACAACCCTGCCCCCCAAAATATTATCACTGTTAACACTCAGGGGAGGAGGACTAACAGAAAGGATTTATCCCAAACGGCACAGCTAAGGGAACCGATAAGGCGAATGAGAACGAATCGATGGAAGAGATTGATTTGCACCTCCTACCTGGCAGCAGGTAAATCAGTGCTAAGTGCTAACAGCTCCCTGTGTAGCATTAGATTGGAGTAAATAAGCAGTGGGGGTGACTTCATGACTCGCTTGTGTTTCAGGTAGTTAGGCAAAGATTTGCGATTTGTGTCGAAATGGTTCCATCGGTGTTAATGAATGTTTAGATTAAACCAGGGGTGCCCAACCTTTATTGACGTAAGATCTACTTTGCGATTAACCAACCTCCCGCGATCGACCCGCACGTACACACGCATGCCATGTTAAGCAACGACCATAACGTCCCCTAAAATGAACGAAACAGAAAAATCAAGTAGACGCAAGAGTTTGTGTGTTTGCGGAAAGGAAATTAATGCCTGCCTTCATCGAGACCTGACTGGGAGGCATGCGACGCACTTTTCGCAGCCTGTTAACTATCGGAGGTTAAAGGTGACCTGCTTTATTTGATTTTTTTCAATACTTTTTGTGAAACTGAGACCGATATGATGATTAGGGTGCATTAACACAAAAAAATATATTAATAACATGCACAGAGACACATAAATGTTAGATTTTTTTCCTCTACACCCCTCGCGATCGACTTGGGACAGCTGTTGGTCGATCGCGATCGACGTAATGGGCACCCTTTTGATTTAACTGTCAATTAATCGATGAGTCGGATTTAAAAAAAAAAATTACGCAGTTTTAATTCCCATTCTTTTATTCAAAAACAGGACACTATGTCAAAATGACATTGCAGGAAATACACAAATATAAGTTAGGATTCACTTCTTGGGTTGGTCCGTAACATGTCAGAAAATTGGCAAAATTTTGGATCTTTGTTTTCCAAAGTAAAAGTATATTTGCAAATGTCTTATTTTGGTCAAAGACCAACATTTTCGCGGAGAACCACAAGAATCGGAGAATATTTACTCTTAAGAATGTGACATTTTCACAAGGTCTTTAAGCAATTCATTGATTATCAAAACTATTTGTGGTTTGATTTGATAACTGACTCATTGTCTAGTTTGTTTTTTTTTTTCAAACAAGAGACAAGAGACTGTGCACCACCCATTATTCTAATTCCATTTAAAAAAATGTTCCTCTAGATAGTTTCGGGGAGCATGTGTCACACTCAAATATTTGTTTTTAGCATTATAATGGGATTCATGATCAACTTACCTCTTTCATTTGCAGGTGCGACATAGATGAAATTTCGGCAGTTTTCACCTGCAAGATAAAAATAACAGTCAATCGCTGCAAGTTTAGCTCGGATGACCCGATGCGATCGATGAAGGCATTTCCGCTGTATCAGTAAAAGCCATGCATGCCATTCTGGGATTTCAAGGATTTCATTGTCGACCATAGAAATGATCAAAAATAGGCTTTGCGGCTGCTGTGGGGGGGATCGATCCCTCTTGCTCCCATATGGCTTCATTGGAAGTGAAATAGCATTCGGATAGAATGTTTTTGTGAGGGAATAAAACATCTTTAAATCTGAAGAGTTCAAAAAGAAACACACGAGGCTTTGGAAATAATTGCCACCATTTTAATGAACGTTCTGAAGTCATATTTGGTGGCGCTTGTGGTTTGCGAATGTACCTCACAGTTTTGAGATTCAGGGTTCGAATCTCTTTAGTCAATGTGGAGTTTCTACATTCTCTATGTAATCATGTTTTTTTGTTTTTTTCTTGTGCTTTTTCTCATTTTTGCAACAACATGCATGTTTGGTTATTGAAAGGCTCCGGACTGTCCACAGGTGCAAATGTGAAGATGAGAAGTTGTTTGTATGCGCACTGAGACTCAGCCTTAACATCAGTATTTGTCATAATGCTTGCCTCTCGGAATCCGTGCAGTAAGAAAAAAAAAAAAAAAGCTGAACAAAAACATTCGGGAACACCAAGGCAATCGTGAGAATTCACGTCACTCGGGATTCATGCGAGAAAATAGTTCCAGTGTGAAATTTTTATTTCAGGATCATATATTTTTGATGCGCGAGACTCTTGTGAAGACTCGGCTTCTCTAAGATGCATGAAAGCAGGAATCTGAAAGAATAAAATGAGAAAGGGAGCGAGACGATGGATGTGTTGCGCAATCACTTTGTGTGATGGTCTCTCAGCAGGTTATGAATGAATGAAAAAGAGAATATTTTGTCACAATATGACATCAAAGTGCTTGTCTCGGCATTAACTGGGACACAGCTGCTAAACTTCGCCCCGTAGTTGACGGCGACCCCCGCCGCCGCCGGTCTATTCCCATAGCGGCGGCGAAACCGGAGGAGTGAAGACGCCCGAATTAATCCCGGATCCGAGTGATTTCTCCTCTTTCAAATCCTCACAATCCGATTATCCCTGTTGATATATCCGCGGCTAATTACTGTGCGGATCTTACAAGCGTCTCTCGCATCTGCCTCTCCTCTCAAACTCACTCTCTCATTTTGTAAGGGTGCGCCCCCGTACCCTCCTAACCCCCCCTCCTCCTCTCCCCTCCCCGTCTTCCAAACACACAGACACACACGCGCGTGCATCTTTTCACCCAAGGAGCGCTCGCAGCATAATCACGTGACACAATCAATGCTTTTGTAAAAACACTCAAAATGATTCATCCAGATAATGCACTTAACACAATGTAAATCATTTTTGTCAGAATTCTTTTTCAACCATTCCCATGTCCATCCATCCATTTTCCGATCCACTTTATCATCACAAGCGCCGCGGGTGTTGGAGCCGATCGCAGCCGTCTTCGGGTAGTAGGCGGGGGGACACCCTGAACCGGTTGTCAGGCAATCGCAGGGCACGTATAGACAAACAACCGCTCACAATCACACCTCCGGACAATTTCGAGTGTTCAATCAGCCTGCCGTGCGTGTTTTTGGAATGTGGCAGGAAACCGGAGTACCCGGAAAAAACCCACGCAGGCACGGGGAAAACATGCTCCACACAGGAAAGCCGGAGCCGGATTTGAACCTTGCACCTTTGCACTGTGAGGCGGATGAGCTCACCAGTCAAGCACCGTGCCACTGTTCATGTGTTAATAGAATATAGGTACCAAACTGAAATCAGGCACTTTGTCTCACAAGAGTAATCTATTCAAAACTAATGTTTGCATTGCGTGTATGTAAATTGTTTGGGTACTGGTGATGCCACAAAGTAATGTGATGTGGAATGTTAAATGGACTGATTTTAATTTTCACCACCGAACAGCAGAGCGAGAAAGACTGTGGCCCAAAAGGGGTCAGAAATAATTTGTTGGACCCATGTAGTCCTGCAGGCACCAAAATATATCAATGAAATGGAATTTGTTCAAAGGACAGCACAGCAGAAGGCTTAGCCACAAAGTTATCGGTTTGAATCTTTTTCTATTTCTCCACAAGCTATGGGGAATGACAAAGAAATACGTTCACAAACTCTTAGTAGAGGCATTTAACAAAAAGCATTCTTGTCAGGAAGCTGTCCTTCCCGGACTGTAACTCAGCATCATCACGGATGTTCACTCATAGCTGCAGACGGCATTATGTAAATGGTTTCAATTAGCCACAAAGTTATCGGTTTGAATCTTTTTCTATCTCTCCACAAGCTACGGGGAATGACAAAGAAATACATTCACAAACTCTTAGTAGAGGCATTTAACAAAAATCATTCTTGTCAGGAAGCTGTCCTTCCTGGACTGTAACTCAGCATCATCGCGGGTGTTCACTCATAGCTGCAGACGGCACTATGTAAAGGGTTTCAAAGACTGGCCTCGATGGAAAGAAAAAGAAAAAAAAAGAAAAAGAAAAACTGCTCTCCATTATTAATGACACCGTAATATACTTTGAACAAATTCAAATGCAGTCTTTTATATGCAGTGGCTAATGACAACAAACGCTAAGGAGATAAGTTCCTCGGAGATGTGTAGAGTGAAGTTCAAAAGGCGCAGCGCAGTGCTGTTGTCCCGAAATATGAAAGGGAAGATATACCGTATTGGCTCGAATATAAGACTGTGTCTTTTGCATTGAAATAAGACTGAAAAAGTGGGGGTCGTCTTATATTCGGGGTCTAGACGTTATACCCATTCACGACGCTAGATGGCGCCAGATATCATTGAAGCGAATGCTGAACTTGACTCCCCAGGCCAATGCGAACCCCTGCCATGAAAAATTAAAATAAAAATAGCGGTAGCATGAAGAAGAAAAATAAAAAAATAGCGGTGAGGAAAAAAAAGAGAAGAAAATAATCGAAGAGATAACAGAAAATGGAGAAACGTGGGTCGAAGTGGGTCGAAGATCGGCCAGGTTAACCGGCAGCTGAGGAGAAGTTATGGTGTAAATTTAAAGATTCTTTTTCTCTCAAATATATTGTTATAATCATTTGTTTCAGATGTACTGTAATTATTTTCTGTACAAAAAATCAATTTGGCGTTCAAAAAGACTTTTTTTCAAACTTGAATCTTGAAAAAGAGGGGGACGTCTTATAATCAGGGCCGTCTTATATTCGGGCCAATAAGGTATAAGCAAATATATTTAATTTAAAATGAAAAACGCTATTTGGTTCAGTGTCGCTCATGGTCTGGATTGGTGATCTGATTCATTCGACGCACATGCTGATTTTTAACCCATTTCATGCACCAATAATGATAACCTGACAAGCTGTCCACTGTAGTGAGAGCTGTCCCTGAAAGGGTTAATATCTCAACCAAATGGGGAAATCCACCCTGAGCACACCCAAAAATAATCAGAAAGAATATTTTTTCATAGAAATGCGCCATTGCTTATTTTGACAGGAAGGATAAGGGGGGAAAAAAATAGCTTGAATTTGTGTGGGTCACTTGGGAGGATGGCCAGGATGCCAAGCACATGTGCATCGTCAAGATCAGGCAGGCGCGTGGCCGTAATGCCAGGGCTCCAAGGACTTGCATGGGCCAAGCATGAAGTTTTAACTGACCAGCCAAGACGAATGATGCCAGCAGCATGTGCACCACCGGCGTCGGGGTCCGATGGCGGGGTCCGATGGCGGCCTGGAAGCTGCTATGATAAACAAAGCTGCCTTACCCCGCCTTGAGCCACATCAACCTGATGCCACATTGAATGAGGAACACCAGAAACAAGAGGCAGCCACTGCAACCGCGAGAGGAAAGCTTTGAAAGACAGCTGGACGGATTTGGCACAATAGGAGGTGAAGTGACGGGCATGAGGTGACACAAATACAGGCCTGGAAAGATGTGATGACAAAACTAAGCTCCTGACTCACTGGATCAAAAAGCTAGAAATGATAAAGTAACAAAGTCACAAGTCACAAAGAAACTGACGGAACAGTCTCACTCCCGCAGAGTGGGAAGACGTGAACATGAGACACCGAAAACAAACAACAAATCGCAAGATGGCAATAATAATCCGGACCAGTCGTTTCAACCCCCCCCCAAAAAAAATGAATAAAGCACTGAACTGTGAAAGCCAGTTCGTGCTTTGCCTTTCACATGAAGAACACAGTTTTGTCTTTTATCCTTTTTTTCCCCTCCTTGACTAACAAGTTGTCAATTGGGAAACAAAGTTTGTGTGTGGATGGACTGCAGGTGTGCGTGTATATACTTTAAATTACATTTTTCCGCGAACTGCAAATGTTTCTTTTGTGAGATTAAAAATCATCATTCTTGCTCCCTTGCCGTCCCCTTCCTTCTGACTTGCACCTCTCCGTTTTAAACACACACGCGCACACACACACACACACACAAATACAGTCTCGGAATTTGATTACATATCCCGAGGCGGCTTTTTTTTTCTGATCGGAGGCAGTTTCTCTATAACCTTGTCACCTCATGATTGAGCTCAACAACGACGCTAGTGGAGGTTTGGAATCACTTTCAGAGGAGTATCTTGGTTTCGGTACTTCCCTTTTTTTTGACTCATTGTCTGTCTCGCGGGCAGATTAGGAAACACTCCAAGAAAAGCGCACGGATAGACTTGCGTCACAAAGGGAAACGGGGGTCTGGTTAAAAGATCTGCCATGTCATTGTTGTCATTTCTCACATTCATTACTGCAGGTAAGGTGGGAAATAGAGGCAGGGATAAATATCTTGCACTCAAGTGACTGTCGTAAAGCGTGCAAAGAGTGATTACGTCAATAGAAGCGAGATTTGAAAGGGCGTTATCCTTATCCGAAAGAAACACAGACACTGGAAGCCGGAAGATTGACTACACATCCTTTCATATCTTCCCATTGGGAAAAAAAAAAAAATGGAAATCAGTTTCG